TGCCGGAGTGCCAATTTGGATTACAGAATTGGACGTGGCAAACGGTCCAAAACAGGTAAGAAATAAAGGAGATCACATTGTGTGCTTGAAAAGCACACGACTCAAATTCCAAATCACACACATAAAGCAAGGTCCAGAATAAACCCCAACTTCCCATTTGCATTAGATGAGTCTTCTAGATTACCAAGACACTTGATAATTGATTCTTTATCATTCTTTGATTCTCATATATAAAACATTTTCTAGATACATATACCGGCCTCTGAGGTATATGATACGTCCCAAGTTCGAATTCTCCTTCCCTTTTGATAAAAAAATAATGTAATGCTATAGTATTTGACTGAATACTTTAAATCTTGTGCATTATATATCAGGGATCCTAGCATGCCACTTACAAGCTCAACTTTTTGTTTACATGGGCAGACATTATACTTGGAGCAGATTCTGAGGGAGACATACGCTCACCCTCACATTCAAGGAATTGTTCTGTGGGCTGGACCGACCGAAAAGGGATGTTACAGAATGTGTTTGACAGACAACATTAATTTCAAAAACCTGCCTAATGGTGATGTTGTGGACAAATTAATACATGAATGGGGTTTGAAGGGCTTGGTTTCTGGCACAACAGACGCTAAAGGTTTCTTTGAGGCCTCCCTTTCCCATGGAGATTACGAAGTGAGCATCACTCACCCAACTTCAAAATCCTCCTCCTTGGTTCAGAGATTGAATGTCAAACCAACTGCTTCGTCCCAGAAGCCATTGTTTCTCAAATTCTCTTCTTGAGATTTTGATTTCGCTTGGGCCTTTTTGTTGTCCTGTTTTCATGGAACATTTAATTTTAGAATTACCCGGAACATACCAAAATTTCTATATTTTTAAGAAAACTCTCTGTATATATGCTATTTTTTGTAGAACCTGTACATATGTAATTATATACCCTTTTGGCATTGAATAAATTTAATAATGATCTTCGAAATTCAGGGCAATACAGTAATTAAACTCAAGTTTTACTCCCCCGCTAAGGAAAACATGTGACAATTGGTTTTCTTTTGTTCTTTATTTTATTTTATTTTATTTATAATTAAAAAAGATAATGGGTAGTTGTGTTCCATAAAAATAGGATTCATTATTTGATTTTTCTTTTAATTTTAATTTTTTTAATATGAAAAAGTGTGAATTTACCATATTATCCTCACTAGCCTCTCCGCACGTGCTTCTGCACATGCGATATGCCTTTTTTTTATAAAAAAAGTTAAAATTAAAATTTATTTTAGAATTAAAAAGGATAATGGGTAGTTATGTTCCATAAAAATAGGATCAATTATCTCATATAATTAATAATTTCAATTCTCAATGTTTGCATTAACAAATGGTATTTTCTGGTATTTTGAATATTTCATCATACTCTGCTTTTTGCTTTATATATTTAATTAATAATTTCAATTCTTAATGCTTGCATTAACCAATACCAGAAAATGCCATTATTTAATTCAAACATTAAGAATTGAAATTATTAATTAAATGAGGATAATATGGTAAATTCACATTTTTATATTAAAAAAATTAAAATTAAAAACAAAATCAGATAATAGATTCTACTTTTATGGAACATAACTACCCATATTATCTTTTCTTCATTCTAAAAATAAAATAAAAAAGAAAACCAATTGGCACATGCTCAGGCATGTGCCAAGGGGCTAGTATATATATAATAGATATATCCCTATAGTAGAGATAAATGAAGTTCTAGGAAAAGTAGTTTAAAATTTTAATAATGATCTTGGAAATTCAGGGCAATACAGTAATTAAACTCAAGTTTTACTCCCCAGTGAGGAGAACTTGTTTCCTTTTTGTATTTTGATTAACTTACTTTCCGGAAACCTTAATTAATTATTATTAATTTTACAAATCCATAAAGGAATAGAACAAAATAAAGTAAATAGAAGACGTGCGCGTTACGTTGAGTTTGATTAGGTAATGTTAAAGTCCTAGTTATGATTGGTATTCTTCCAATTGAATATTTATATATATGTTCGTATCATCGGGGATTAAGTAGAATTAAGAAAGGAAAAAACAAAAGCAGAGTTGTTTATTCGATTGGGGAGGGAGAGAGAGAGAGAGAGAGAGAGAGAGGAGAGAGAGAGAGAGAGAGAGAGAGAGTATGGCAAGAATGTTCTGGCGAAAAAGAGTGAGAATGGCAAGAATGTCCTCTCCAAGTGAAGATTCAGATGAAGAAGTAGCTTTAAGTGCCAGGCACCAGAGATCTGGTGCTCGAAGGCCTTTTTCATGGTTACGCGAAGATTCGGATGAACAAGTTAACATGAGGCCAAGGCATAAGAGAACTCGTGTCAGACGTTTTTATGAGGAAGAAACGGAAGAGGAAGAAGAGGAAAGTGATGAATATGGAGGAGAAGAGGTTGGAGAGGGAAGTGGTGAATATGGAGGAGAAGAGGAAAGAGATGAATATGGAGGAGAAGAGGTTGGAGAAGAGGAAAGATATGAATATAGAGGAGAAGAGGTTGGAGAAGAGGAAAGATACGAATATGGAGGAGAAGAGGTTGGAGAAGAGGAAAGATACGAATATGGAGGAGAAGAGGTTGGCAGAGAAAGGGAAGAAGAAAGAGACTTCCTTAATAATATCGAAGGGGCATGGGAAGAGGAAGAGCCAAATAATGAAGCACAAGTACATGAACAGCAGCAGGATGGATCTCAATCTCATGTTTCCATAACCCTAACCGACCCAGAATTGTTTGATTGCCCTATTTGCTGTGAGCCCTTGACCATCCCTGTCTACCAATGCGACCAAAACGGGCACATAGCTTGCTCCTCCTGCCGTACAAAGATCAACGACAAATGTCCCTCTTGTTCCGGGTTCATTGGATTCAGTCGTTGCCGCGCAATCGAGAAGGCTCTTGAATCAATCAAAACATCATGCCAAAATATCAAGTATGGATGCAAAGAATCTTTCACTTTCCATAAAAAAGGTAAACATATAAACGCATGTGTGCATTCACCTTGCTCTTGCCCCCATTGCAACTTTGTCTCTCCAGATCTTGAGTTATACCAACACTTCAGAAGCAGCCATGCGACTTTCGCAACGCAATTCAAGTACAACTCTTTTTTTTCTGTTTCGTTAAATGCCGAAGCAAGCTTTCTTGTTCTTCAAGAAAAGAATGATGATACATTATTTATCCTCAAGAGAAATTATGTTGAAGATGTAGGAAATTCAGTGAAAGTTACTTGTATACAACCCGGCTTCAGGAAAGGCTTCTTATATCAGCTTCATGCGAAAGCCAAGAAAATGTCTCTCAAATTGGAGGCCTTCACAGAGAGCACTCCAAGCCGGCGGGCAATTGATAATCCTAAAACAGGGTTTCTTTTAATTCCATGTCATTTTACCAGTCCTGGTGGCCAGCTCAAGATGGAAATCTGCATAGAGAATTTTGAGATGTATTAATTTATAAAGCCAAACTTCGGCTATATTGCATATGTTCTAGCCAGAACTCAACTCAAAATTTGTTTACGAAACTTTTTAGCATATACATATCTTGCATTTTGGAGTTAATTAACAAATCAATGATCTGAATAGTTATGGTTTTCATCTTCTTAACTAATTTACCCCTAAACAAAATTAAAGATAAAGGTTTTGTTGCCCCTCATCATCTTCTTAACTAATTTACATTACATATATATATATATATATATAGGAAATACGAGGGAAAACAATTTACAAGTTCAATTGATATTCTGAAGCTAATTAGCTTAATCAAGATTGTAAACACGAGTTCATCGTATACGTACACATCCTATTTCCTATTTACACAACCGCTCTACTAAATAAATACATATAGAATTGTCATTAGCACTCTAAAGTAGTCATCATGCACTTTTGCTCTTTTATTAAGGGGTATATGTGACTTCACAAGTGCCTCATGAAGCTCAGCTTTGGAGATAGAGCTAGTGTCATGCAGAGGCTTAGCGTGTGATGGCATTGCCCATTAAATTTGAATTTGATGTTTGGCATTTAAATTTGAAATCTCCCTTGGACTATCCGTTTACCAAAATCTTGATTCTTGTCTTCCCAAAACATGTCTTATTACACATTGCGATTGTGATTGAAAAGGAAATGGCAAGAGTCTCTATTATGAGTGATATCCTTCCAAATGAGGCCTATGTATTATTCATTGTTTATTAGTATCAACTCCATCGAGAGAAAATATTTTAGAAAGAAAAAAAGTTGGAGAAAGTGAGGGAAATGGCAAGATCCTCGGCCAATGGGGATTCTGATGAACTAGTTAACATCAGGCCAAGGCATTAGACCTTGTCAGACGTCTGCCACGAGACATTTCTTGTAAAAACTGGTATATGTAAACTAACAATTCTAGACACTTCTTGCAAAGTGATCAAGTTTATTTCTCACCATGGATCAAGGGGTGGCTACTTCTCTCATTTTATTTCATCCCTCGATATTGTTTTCCAGATTTAAATTTGATACCTTGAAGCTCTCATTAAGCAACTTTGGATATATGTATAGCTATTAGCTAGTGGCATGCGCAGAGGCTGGGCGTGATAGCATTGCCCACTAATTTGAGAAGAAATGATAGCATTTGCAGGCCTAAACATTGGCCAAAATGCCACATGGCTATCAAATGTTTGGCATTTGAAATCTCACTTGGACAAAAGGTTTTTTTTTAATCAAAAGAAAAGGCTAGGTCTTTTCGTTTACCCAAATCTTGATTCTTGGATTCTCCAAAAATCAGAATAAAATAAGCACAAAAAAAAGTATTGCACATCACGGTGAGAGTGAAAAGAGAATGCCAAGAGTCTATTATGATTGCTATTCTTCCAAGTGAGGCCTATATAGCCTTGTATTGTTCATTGTATGTTAGTATCAACTCAACCAGATTATTCGATTGGAGAGAGTGAGGGGAATGGCAACTGATCAATATGAAGCATAAGTTGGTGGAGAAAGTGAAGAAGAAAGTGGCGACGTTGATCATATGGAAAATGATGAAGCACAGCCCTATATTGAAGCACAAGTACATGAACAGCAGGATGGCTCTCACTCTCATGTTGTCATAACCCTAACTGACCCAGAATTATTCGATTGCCCTATTTGCTCCGAACCCTTGACCATCCCTGTCTACCAGTGTGACCAAAATGGGCACATAGCTTGCTCCTCCTGCCGTACAAAAATTAACGACAAATGTCCCTTCTGCTCTGGGTCTATTGGATTCAATCGTTGCCGTGCGATCGAGAAGGCTCTTGAATCAATCACAACATCATGCCAAAACACCCAGTATGGATGCAAAGAATCTTTGACTTTCAATAAAAAAGGTGAACATAAAAAGGCATGTGTGTATTCACCTTGCTATTGCCCCCATTTAAATTGCAAGTTTGTTTCTTCAGCCAAGCAGTTATACCAACACTTCAGTAGTAGCCACGTGAATTCCGCAACACAATTTGAGTACTACGTCATTTTTCATGTTTCATTAAATGCTGATGACAACTTTCTTGTTCTTCAAGAAAAGAAAGGTGGTACATTATTTATTCTCAAGAGGCATCATGTTGCAGATCTAGGAAATGCTGTGACAATTAGTTGTATACAACCCGGCTTCAGGGGGCGCTTCTTCCATGAGCTTGATGTGAAATCCGAGGAAAATTTTCTCAGATTGGAATCTTTCACCAAGAGCACTCCAAGCCGGCAGGTAATTGATGATCGCCCTCCCAAAACCGGTTTTCTTTTAATCCCGTTTGATTTTATCAGTTCTGGTGGCCAGCTCAAGATGGAAATTTGCATATGGCCTGAAGGTGCCTCCCCCTTCACCCCTCAGAAGTAACCATGTTGCTTAAAATAAGTAATATTATATGCTGTTTTAGCCTGGGAAAAGATTGTTTGGTACCAGATACCGATTTACAACATCAGGTACAAGGCTATAGCCTTGTTAGTTTTTCTTGTTAGTCCCTCAATTATTAGTTGGTTATGTAACTGAAAATGTTTTTGCTAAGCAAAAAAGTTTAGGATGGGAGTGCCTATTGCCTATTGTATCTTCGTCGCAGCTATTTATCATCGAGAAGACTATGTCGAAACTTTTAAACTTTGACACTGATCTACAAGAAATGTCCTATAGAGAGTAACAGAAATTCCAACCCCTCACACAGACATTAGTGACTGCATAGCGCAAATTTGGATTACAGTGTGTTTGAACATGTATTCTAAACCAAGTTGTACCGAATGTTAATTTTGATATGATCCAAGTACCCTGATTGGTAAGAGCTTGATATTGGCTGCAATTCTAATTTTACCACTCTTACGTCCTAACCTTCGTACATAAGATCTTTTACTTGCTGCTTCATATTTTATATATAAAAATAGTGCTTCATATTGAAGGCGAAGACAGAGAGCCAAATTATGAAAGTGAGTTGATCTCCGTAACCTTACAACCGAACCAGAGAAATGCTTGATTCATCACGTTGCTATGAACACTTGACCATCTTTCCACCAATGTGATCAAAATGGTCACATAGCTTACTCCTCCTATTCCACCCTAATTGAAAACAAATCTCCCTCCTGTTCTGGGTCTATTTACTTCAATCCTTGCAGCACATTCAAAACTAGAAAACCTAAAAAATGGGCCGCATATTATTTGAGGCCAATACCAACAAAAAGGCCACAGTGTACCCGAGGCCACATAATTTTGCGTATGGCCTAAAGATGCCGTCACTATCTAGGCTATGGTGTTTTAGCATGGACAAGATTGTTTGGTACTCAATATCAATTTTCAGCATCAGCTATAGCCTTGTGAACTTTTCTTGTTCTTTTCAGTTATGTTTTTATACATTTTGAGTTAATATGTTTTTGCTTATTCCTGCCAAATGGAAGAACTTGGAATTAGGAAAAAAAATTTGAAGCCAGGGTTCGATTTAATGCATATTTACTAGCTTGGACTCAACTCAATATTTTTGTTTACGAAACTTTATTTGTATATCTCGTGCATTTTGTTGTTAATTAACAATTCCTGATCTGAATGTTTTCATATTCTCAACTAAATTACCCTTAAATTATAGTAAGGGTTATTTCCACAAATGGTCCTTGATGTATATGAAATTATCATCTTTGGTTTTAAAGGTGTTTTTGTGATATCGTTGGTCCTCAACATTACTCTCGCACATCAAGTTCAGTCCTTCCGTTATAAGTCTTATCAAAACATCAAGTTCAGTCCTTCCGTTATAAGTCTTATCAAAAAGTTCGTTGATGTGACATGTATGTGGCGCTTATATTTTTCTAATAGTTTAAAACTTCAAATCCATTTTTAAAAAAAATTAAAATTAAAAGTGCATGCATGACCTATCTCTTCCAATTGCACTTGGTAAGCCCAACCATTAACACACAAAAGGTTGAGAGCCCAAACCAAAACCAAAACCGGACATGAAGCACAATTCTAGGGGAAAACAATTTACAAGTTCGATTGATTCTGAAGCTATCTGGGTTTATCAAAATGGTTGTAAGCATGAGTTCATCGAATACATATTGAACAATGATCCTACGTGAATGGAGTTTGAAGGGTTATTGATTTCTGGCACAACAGAAGTTAATGGTTTCTTCATTTAGGCATCCCTTTTCCATGTAGATTACCAATTACAAGTTATTATCACTCACCCAAATTCAGTGACAAACTTTCTTTTAAAAAAAAAAAATTCAGTGACAAATTCCCCCTTGGTTCGGAGATTGAATGTGACACCAACTATTTCATCCCAGAAAGAAACCATCGTTTCTCCAACTTTCTTCTTCTTGAAATAGGGAGATTTAATTTTAGAATTATTCGTAATCATGAGATAATATCATATTATCTTCTCTTTTTTTTTAAATACTAAATCATTATCTATCTATCTATTTATCTTGAGCATGGAATTCCGATTATATAACATCTAATAAATTGAATAATGCTCTTTGAAATGGAGGGCAATATAATAATTATATGACAAGTTTAATAGAAAAAGAAGTTCACATATTCTAGGACTTTCGGTATCAACAAGTCTTTGATTATTATTGTCATTCCCCTAAAATAAATCGTGCACTTTATCCTCTTCCAATGGAGGCCTATATACAACGCTATTATCAGCTCCTTCGAGAGAAAGTAAAAAGAAATAACAACCAGACTTGTTTTTGTAATTGGATTGGAGAGAGTGAGGGGAATGGCAAGATCATCGTCCAATGGAGATTCAGATGAAACCATCAGGTCGAGGAGCAAGAGAGCTCGTGAAGATGAAAGAGACTTTAACTTCGATGCTCTTATTGGAGTAGAAGAGGAAGAGGAAGAGCCAAATAATGAACCACAAGTACATGAACAGCAGGAAGGGTCTCATGTTGTCGTAACCCTAAACGATCCAGAATTATTTGATTGCCCTATTTGCTATGAACCCTTGACCATCCCTGTCTACCAATGTGACCAAAATGGCCACATAGCTTGCTTCTCCTGCCGCACCAAAATTAACAACAAATGTCCCTCCTGTTCTAATTTCATCGGGTTCAATCGTTGCCGAGCAATCGAGAAGGCTCTCGAATCAATCACAACATCCTGCCAAAACTTGCAGTATGGATGCAAAAAATCTTTGACTTTCGATAAGAAAGGTCCACATCAAAAGGCATGTGTGTATTCACCTTGCTCTTGCCCCCGTTTATATTGCAACTTTGTCTCTTCAGCCAAGCAGGTATACCGACACTTCACCAGTAGCCATGAGATTTCCGCAGCAACACGATTCAAGTTCAACAACAGTTTTCCTGTTTTACTAAATGCCGGCAACAACTTTCGTGTTCTTCAAGAAAAAAATGATGGTACATTATTTATCCTCAAGAACCATTATGTTGAAGGTCTAGGAAATTTAGTGACAATTAGTTGTATACAACCTGTCTTCATGAGGGGCTTCTTCTATGAGCTTGTTACGAAAGCGAAGGAAGATTCTCTCAGATTGCACTCTTTCACAAGGAGCACTCCAAGCCGGCAGGTACTTGATGACGGCCCTCCTAAAACCGGGGTTCTTTTAATAACATGTGATTTTATCACTTCTGATGGACAGCTCAAGATGGATATCTGCATATGGCCTAAACTTTCCAGTATTCTACGAAATTAGCCATGTTTCTTAACATAAGTTGCAGGATATGCACGGGACAGGATTGTTTGGTACAGGATACAAATTTACCGCATCTAATACAAGGCATTGCCTTGTGATTTTTTCTTGTTCTCCCCCAATTATTAGTTGGTTATTTTTTTATACATTGGAGGTGAATATGTTTTTGCTTCTTCTGCGTGTCAACATCAAGAACTCAGTTTGATGAAAAAAATAAATATTTAGTATTTAGAGCAAGTATTTGGTGTTGAGGTTTTTAATTAACCAACTATATGCATTTTTAGTAGCTTGGACTTGATGTTTGCAAAAAAAAAAAAATAGGATGGGAGTTCCTATTGTCTATTGTATATGTCTTTGTCGCAGTCAGGCTAATCGAGAAGACTAAGTTGAAACTTTGAGACTGATCTACAAGAAATGTCCTATAGAGTAACAGAAACTCCAACTCCTCACACACACATTCACCACTTTAGCGGCTGCATACTGCAAATTTGGAAAACATTGAATTTCATAACTTTTCTTGGAGTGGTTTTCATCTTCTTAAGCCAAAATGTGACATGAGCCATTAAATTTGAATTTTATGTTTAGGATTTGAAATCTCCCTTGGAGAAAGGGATTTAAATATTGTCTAGGACTTTTCGTATTCTTGAAAATAGTTTATATATTCTAGGACGTTTCGTTTATCGAAATCTTGATTCTTGGCTTCCCAAAAAAACAGAAAAAAAATAAGCAAAAAAGGATCTTGCACATGATCGAGGGTTGTATATATGATTGAAAAAGGAATGCCAAGAGTCTCTGTGTTATGAATCATGATTGATATTCTTCCAATCGAGGATTGTATATAACGCTATATAGCCTTGCATTATTCTTGTTTAGTATCAACTCAATTGAGAGAAAATTTCCATCTGAAAACGACAAAACAACCAGAGTTGTTTACTACATTAGAGAGATAGGAATGGCAAGGTCCCCGTCCAGTGATGATGATTATGACCTGGCCGGTTGTTTTAGGATCCGGCCTGCATCGTTACGTGGAGATTCAGATGAACAAGTTAACACCAGGCCCATGCATAAGAGAACTCGACTGAACCCTCGACCTCAGCCATCCATCTTCTTAATGGATGAGGAAGAGGTGGAAGAGGTGGAACAAGAGGAAAGTGGTCAATCTGAAGAAGAAGAAGAAGAAGAAGAAGAAGAAGAAGAAGTTGGTGGAGAAAGTGAAGAAGAAGTTGGCGGAGAAAGTGAAGAAGAAGTTGGCGGAGAAAGTGAAGAAGAAAGATGAAGAGCAGGATGGGTCTCACTCTCATGTGGTCATAACCCTAACCGACCCAGAAGTATTTGATTGCCCTATTTGCTTTGAATCCTTGACAATCCCCGTCTACCAATGTGACCAAAATGGGCACATAGCTTGCTCCTCCTGCTGCACAAAAATCAACAACAAATGTCCCTCCTGTTCTGGGTCTGTTGGATTCAATCGTTGCCGTGCCATCGAGAAAGCTCTTGAATCTATCACAATATCGTGCCAAAACATTCATTATGGGTGCAAAGCATCTGTGGCTTTCCATAAAAAAGGTGAACATCAAAAGGCATGTGTGTATTCACCTTGCTCTTGCCCCCATTTATCTTGCAACTTTGTCTCTTCAGCTGAGCAGCTATACCAACACTTCAGCAGTAGCCATGTGAATTCTGCAACACAATTCAGGTACTACGACAGTATTGCTGTATCATTAAATGCCAGTGACAAATTTCTTGTTCTTCAAGAGAAAAATAATGGTACATTATTTATCCTCAAGAACCATCGTGTTGAAGATCTAGGAAGTGCAATGACAATTACTTGTGTACAACCTGGCTTCATGGAGGGCTTCTTCTTTGAGCTTTATGCGAAAACCGAGAAAAATTATCTCATATTACAGAGTTTCACAATGAACGCTCCAAGCCTGCATCTTATTGATGATAGCCCTCCTAGAACCGGGTTTCTTTTAATTCCTTGTGGGTTTATCAGTCCTGGTGGCCAGCTTAAGATGGAACTTTGCATATGGCCGAAAGGTGTCCTTCCTATATAGGGTATGGTGTTCTGGCATGGGACAAGATTGTTCGGTACTCAATTTCAATTTTTCGCATCTCATACAAGGCTATAGCCTTGTTGTTCTTCTCCTCGTTATTAGTTGGTTCTGTTTTTATACATTTTGAGTGAATATGTTTTGCTTCTTCCTGCCAACTTGAAGAACTTAGAATTTTGATTCGGGTTGAAATTTGTAATGAATGATGCGTATTTTACTAGCTTGGACTCAACTCTATATTAATTTGTTTACTAAACTTTTTTGTATGTATCTTGCATTTTGGAGTTAATTTCCTCGGGGTTTCTTTCCTCCCAATGTAACCGAAAAAAGAAGGTTTTGTTGCCCCTTCATATTCCAGGACCATTGCCTTCAAGTGTATCCCCCATTATGTTAAAACATTTCGTGAAGAAATTTTGATTTAATCCAAGGTAGTAAAGCATCCTTGATGATGTAAATCTTTACTGAATCTTGGCTTAATTATCTCAATTTATTATTTCAAAATATTAATCAATAGGTTGCATAGTGTTAGTATTTGTAGAAATTAAGGGGGGAAACAATTTCGATTGATTTTGAAGGGAATTGGCTATACCAAAATGGTTGTAAACATGAGTTCTTCAAATACATATTGAACAATGATACTACATGAATGGGGTTTACAGGATATTTTTCTTTATTTACACAGTTATTGACAGGAATGTATTCATCAAATACATATAGTATGATGCACACACAAAAAATTTAGTTTAATATGACAAGATAACATAGCTCTCTTAACCTCACTAACAGAACACTATAACCTATATTTAGAGAGAGAGAGAGAGAGAGAGAGAGAGAGAGAGAGAGAGAGTTTCTACGCAAGGACCGGTTTGGGGAGATCGGAGGCTTGGAAGAAAGCGACGGCTTCGTTGCCACTAATCCGGCCATCGCGGTCCAAATTGGCTCATCGAAAATGCATCGAAGAGATCCACATTCGCCGATTGGTTTTGTGCCGACGCCATAACCACCGTCGAATTGCGATCCGCCAAGATCAGACTTTTTAAATATTTGAATATATTTAAAGGGTATATCCACGCGGCTATAATGTTTAAATATAACATTTGTCTATTATTAGTATAGCCGCCCGGCTATAATCTTTAAATTATAATACCACTTTAACCCGTTGGACTATAGTTATATCTTCAATTATTTTATTTATACAAACGATATTGGGAATGAGAAATTAAATTCTTTCTGATACCTCTCATTCTAATGATTTCCAACTATTAGCCCATTTGGTTAGGGTTATTTCTTCAACTTTTTAAATGTATTCAGCTATATTGTTTAAATATATTGGAATTCATGAGAGTCAAAATTTCTGAACTATTAAATTCTTTACTATGATTAAAAATGTCGCATTAGATTGTTTAACAATGTTATTTACTCCCTTTTCCCTGCAAACCCAAAATGATATTTTGATTAACCAAGTCCAAGTGCCAAAATCATGGTCTCCTCAATGCCAAGAACAATTTCACAACCCCTTTTGTATCTGCAGCGAACCAACTGGGTTTGGTCATATTTGGTCGGTTAAAAGACCTTACTACAGACGTGCTTTACATGAAGATTCCATCAGAACTAGAAACTAAGTGATGATAAGAAAAACAAAACAAAACAAAACTAGCATTGTTAAAAAGATCTAAACCTCATTTAATAACTAAACAAGTCAGCTTTAGATCACTTGAGGCAGCAACAATTGTAATCAAATAAAGGACAAATCCCCACCACAAACAACTAGGTGGTACTAACCACAATCATGCAGCAAGATCCAGTCAACATAGACACAAGGTCAGAGAGTACTGAGTTCATCACAGGAGGAAAAAAAGAAAAATTAAATTAAAAAAATCTAAGTGTTACCAGCAGTTTCTAATCACAGAGACTATCTTGGACCTACGTAAACTCATTTATGGCATACCTTCATCTTCAAACTTATCCCAATCTTCATCCCAGTCAGCATCTCCTTCTTGGATGCCCGGTTGCCAGCCTTATATAAAAACAAAGAAAAGTTTCAAACGGCCAAATGTAATGTAAAAACTACAAATATTGCAGCAGTGAAACTATAAAGACAAAAAAAAAGACACTTATAAAACCCTATAGACTTTAAATAAGTTCAATCCATCTTGTTACAGGTTTTCTCTTCTTGACAAAGATTTCAATGATTTCAGCTTCTAGAAAGACAAAGATTTCAGCAGTGAACGGAAATACAGCCTTCCGTTCCAAATACCATTTTTTGAAGACTATTTTCATATTAGTGCCTAATAAAAGGGTCCTTATTGCCCCAATTTCTAGTAGTGAGGAATCGGTATTGGCACTCCAAAAAAGTTATCATGCATTCTTCTTTTATTTTTATCATGGTTCCTGAACACGCACAATTTCAAACCTCAATTAATAGTCTCTAAGAAGATGCAGACTAATACTTATAGACATTTCTTGAAAAATCAAGTTGATTTCTCTCAACATATGGATCAAGTTTCCTCCTTTTATTTCATATCCCTCTATAATGTTGTTCAGATTTTAATTCGATCCCTTGAATTCCCACCACCTATAAAGAAGGGGTAGATGTCACAAGTGCTTAATGAAGCTCATTAATTATAAGCAGCTTTGGAGATATAGCTTTTCCTAAACGAAGCTATAGTGTCATGCAGAGGCTAAGCGTGACTGCATTGTCCACTTTGACTTGAGATAATGGGAAGGCACTACTGGACTCAAATCTTAATAGTGGTGCTGTACCAAACTTGGAATTCGATTAAAATGAACCCCAAACGTGCAATTGATCCACTAAGAAAACTATATGAGAACATGATAGTTCAGTCCACTGTGAGAGAAGTGCCCTGACAATGAGATTTGTTTATTTGAAATCCACCATATTCCTTGCAATGCAAAAGACTCATTTGCAGGTTTTAGATGCATACCCATGAAATCCCAAATGAACTAACTATACTTAAAAATAAAGATGCATCTAGATTTTCATCCTTAGATAAGATGCTTTTTTATTTTATTAAATCAAGTTATATCAGTCCCCTTCTATTGAGGGATCCCTCAAATAATTTTATTTGAGGGACGCCCTTTAGGGTACCCTACAATTTTTTTCCCAATGATCCAAACCATCTATTTTTTAGGTCTTCATTCATAGATCATCCTTACAAAAAATTAGATAAATCTGAAACCGTTTCGACATCCAATTATGTCTTACAAAATCAATGACCACGGTGCTTCAAGAAAGTATTAAAATTTCAATAACTCAATTGAGTGGTCAAATGATATCGGATTCAAGTAATTTTTTGTAGAGATGATCTTTGAATGAGTATCTACAAAATAGACGGTTTGGATTAGTGAAATACAATCCAGAGTGGGGCCTACAAGGGGTGTCCCTCAAATAAGCTTATTTGAGGGATCCCTCAATGGAAGCTCTCTGTTTAGGTACATATATTAGTTTGAATGCATTCATATTCATCTATATATTATGATCGAGAACCGTCTTTATCAACAAGAGCGTATGAAAAAAATTAATCGTACACTATGTATGAATAAGATTATGTTTTTATTATTGTCTTACCCTGCCGTGCTGTGACTTAACTTTCTAAGATTTACAATATACTTAAGTATTATGTTGTCTGTTTGAGAAAAATTCTCATGGGAGAATATTCGCAAGAGATTCTTCGCCCTTCGAGCTTCCTTCCCTCTTTTCTTCCTCGATCCCTGTGAACAAGAATGGAGTAAATAGACAACACCCGGGGTATAGCCATGTCTCCTTGCTTGGCTAAGGTTTGAAGAATAATCCTTATTTAATTAGGATTATTCTTACCCAAAAAGATGATAGGAATTGATCAAAGAAATTTGCTGGAAATTAGTTCCTTGATTTAGGGAGATATATTCTTATCTTAAATCAAAGATAATTCCCTAATTAAATCTTATTTAATTATAGTAATTAGTTGACCTAAAGAATATCTCTTTTTCCACGTGTCATCTTCTTATTGGCTGCCGAAATATGTGTTCCCACATTGTCCCACAGTGGTGTCACTTTCATGTGGTCTATTGGCAATTTGGTATACATAGTAGAAGATGCTACATATTTCCTCTACTAGTACTCTATTCTGAGTTGTGACTATTGTTGGAAGTTGGAACTAAAGCAAACATTTTCTTATTTAACCGCAGGCATCATGTGATCCCAATGACTTTCAGGCTAGCCACAGCCATCCACTTACCATTTGAAGGGTTGCCAGTTGTTCTTAATACTATATATTAACAAACATCACATGCTCACACAAGAACATCTTGAATTCGATCGTATACGAATTCTTCGCCATTCGTCTCTCTTTTAAGCCGGCATTTTGTAAGGACAAGCTCTATGATTTGGTATAGTGGGAAATTAGGTATAGTACGAGTATAACTTTTTGTTTGATGAGAGAGAGAGAGAGAGAGAGAGAGAGAGAGAGAGAAACAAACAAACAAACATTGAAGAAATGGACATGGCGTCCTTCAATAATAAGACATCAAAATTTGGATATATATATCTCCATTCTAGTGCAGCCACCACTAGCTCCAAATCAATATACTTTAAGCATATCAAAGTTTGTTCCCTTGTTGATTTTCTTGTTGATTTTCTATTCTTAAAACTCAGAGGTTCATAGCACTTTAAACTCTGTAGTGAAAACACATCACGGGTCACCATGAAAATCTGCAAATTAAACAGTGATCCAACATTGTTTGCTGGGCTATTGTCTTTATTTGGGTCCAATGTCGAATATAAACTATGTTCATCAACATTCCAACGGCACAAAAACAAATTTTTTAGAGAAAACGCCAAAAAGAAAAAAAAGAGAACATCTTGTCTTCTTTTTTTAACTTGAAAACTGAAATCAAGGGGCCCATTTGATAACCATTTCGGCCCATTTGATAATCATTTAATTTTTCATTTTTTTTTTCATTTTTTGTGTTATAGTATAGAGGAAAAAGAGGGAGAATGTAAGTGAGAATGAGAGTGTACATGAGATTGAGAGGGAAGATGAGAGGAGAGGATGGGAGGGAGGAGTTACAAAAGTAAAAATTGAAATCTATTTGAAATTGTTTTCACTTTTGTTACTACTCCCTCCCATCCTCCCCTCTCATCATCTCTCACAATTTCATCATCACTTCCATTATCACTCTCATTTCCCTCTATAATCTAGTACAAAAAATGAAAACTAAAAACTAAAATTGATTTGATCATCAAACGGCCCTTCAATTTTAGTTTTTAGTTTTCATTTTTTGTGCTAGAGTATAGAGAAAATGAGAATGAGAATGGGAGTTAGGATGAGATTGAAAGAGAGGATGAGAGGGGAGAATGGAAGGGAGGACTACACAAAGCGAAAAACAAATTAAAATAGATTTCAGTTTTTAGTTTTTGTTTTCACTTTTGATACTCCTCCCTCCCATCGTCCCCTCTCATGCTCCCTCTCAATCCCATATTCACTCTTATTCTCACTTTCATTCTCCCTCTTTTCCCTCTATTCTCTAGCACAAAAATTGAAAAATAAAAACTAAAATTGAAGGGCCGTTTGATGATCAAATCAATTTTAGTTTTTAGTTTTCATTTTTTGTACTAGATTATAGAGGGAAATGAGAGTGATAATGGAAGTGATGATGAAATTGTGAGAGATGATGAGAGGGGAGGATGGGAGGGAGTAGTAACAAAAGTGAAAACAATTTCAAATAGATTTCAATTTTTACTTTTGTAACTCCTCCCTCCCATCCTCTCCTCTCATCTTCCCTCTCAATCTCATGTACACTCTCATTCTCACTTACATTCTCCCTCTTTTTCCTCTATACTATAACACAAAAAATGAAAAAAAAATGAAAAAATTAAATGATTATCAAATGGGCCGAAATGGTTATCAAATGGGCCCCTTGATTTCAGTTTTCAAGTTAAAAAAAGAAGACAAGATGTTCTCTTTTTTTTCTTTTTGGCGTTTTCTCTAAAAAATTTGTTTTTGTGCCGTTGGAATGTTGATGAACATAGTTTATATTCGACATTGGACCCAAATAAAGACAATAGCCCAGCAAACAATGTTGGATCACTGTTTAATTTGCAGATTTTCATGGTGACCCGTGATGTGTTTTCACTACAGAGTTTAAGTGCTATGAACCTCTGAGTTTTAAGAATAGAAAATCAACAAGAAAATCAACAAGGGAACAAACTTTGATATGCTTAAAGTATATTGATTTGGAGCTAGTGGTGGCTGCACTAGAATGGAGATATATATATCCAAATTTTGATGTCTTATTATTGAAGGACGCCATGTCCATTTCTTCAATGTTTGTTTGTTTGTTTCTCTCTCTCTCTCTCTCTCTCTCTCTCTCTCTCTCATCAAACAAAAAGTTATACTCGTACTATACCTAATTTCCCACTATACCAAATCATAGAGCTTGTCCTTACAAAATGCCGGCTTAAAAGAGAGACGAATGGCGAAGAATTCGTATACGATCGAATTCAAGATGTTCTTGTGTGAGCATGTGATGTTTGTTAATATATAGTATTAAGAACAACTGGCAACCCTTCAAATGGTAAGTGGATGGCTGTGGCTAGCCTGAAAGTCATTGGGATCACATGATGCCTGCGGTTAAATAAGAAAATGTTTGCTTTAGTTCCAACTTCCAACAATAGTCACAACTCAGAATAGAGTACTAGTAGAGGAAATATGTAGCATCTTCTACTATGTATACCAAATTGCCAATAGACCACATGAAAGTGACACCACTGTGGGACAATGTGGGAACACATATTTCGGCAGCCAATAGAAGATGACACGTGGAAAAAGAGATATTCTTTAGGTCAACTAATTACTATAATTAAATAAGATTTAATTAGGGAATTATCTTTGATTTAAGATAAGAATATATCTCCCTAAATCAAGGAACTAATTTCCAGCAAATTTCTTTGATCAATTCCTATCATCTTTTTGGGTAAGAATAATCCTAATTAAATAAGGATTATTCTTCAAAACCTTAGCCAAGCAAGGAGACATGGCTATACCCCGGGTGTTGTCTATTTACTCCATTCTTGTTCACAGGGATCGAGGAAGAAAAGAGGGAAGGAAGCTCGAAGGGCGAAGAATCTCTTGCGAATATTCTCCCATGAGAATTTTTCTCAAACAGACAACATAATACTTAAGTATATTGTAAATCTTAGAAAGTTAAGTCACAGCACGGCAGGGTAAGACAATAATAAAAACATAATCTTATTCATACATAGTGTACGATTAATTTTTTTCATACGCTCTTGTTGATAAAGACGGTTCTCGATCATAATATATAGATGAATATGAATGCATTCAAACTAATATATGTACCTAAACAGAGAGCTTCCATTGAGGGATCCCTCAAATAAGCTTATTTGAGGGACACCCCTTGTAGGCCCCACTCTGGATTGTATTTCACTAATCCAAACCGTCTATTTTGTAGATACTCATTCAAAGATCATCTCTACAAAAAATTACTTGAATCCGATATCATTTGACCACTCAATTGAGTTATTGAAATTTTAATACTTTCTTGAAGCACCGTGGTCATTGATTTTGTAAGACATAATTGGATGTCGAAACGGTTTCAGATTTATCTAATTTTTTGTAAGGATGATCTATGAATGAAGACCTAAAAAATAGATGGTTTGGATCATTGGGAAAAAAATTGTAGGGTACCCTAAAGGGCGTCCCTCAAATTTTAAAAAAAAAAAAAAAAAAAAAAAAAAAAAAAAAAAAAAAAAAAAAAAAAAAAAAAAAAAAAAAAAAAAAAAAAAAAAAAAAAAAAAAAAAAAAAAAAAAAAAAAAAAAAAAAAAAAAAAAAAAAAAAAAAAAAAAAAAAAAAAAAAAAAAAAAAAAAAAAAAAAAAAAAAAAAAAAAAAAAAAAAAAAAAAAAAAAAAAAAAAAAAAAAAAAAAAAAAAAAAAAAAAAAAAAAAAAAAAAAAAAAAAAAAAAAAAAAAAAAAAAAAAAAAAAAAAAAAAAAAAAAAAAAAAAAAAAAAAAAAAAAAAAAAAAAAAAAAAAAAAAAAAAAAAAAAAAAAAAAAAAAAAAAAAAAAAAAAAAAAAAAAAAAAAAAAAAAAAAAAAAAGGTGTGAAAACAGAATGAAAACTGATAATGCCATAGGGTCAAGAGCTTTCATGACAGGCCACACTTATCTTTTCTTAATATATTATTTTCTTTTACAATCAATGCTTTCTGTCATTACATTCTGGCTAATAACCTTTTCAACTTTTACAGGGCATGGCACCAATGCTTCGTCGACAACAAGGCAGGCAAGAATGACCTCAATAATGAATATTTCTTTTGTTTCTACATGTTTGTCACTTAATGATTAAATTAAGAAACATATTTGGATATGGAGTTTTTAATGACTTGTGTATTGTGAATGCCAGCTTTAACAAGTTTGTGAAACATTGTTGAAAATGCATATAGCCAAAAGCTGATTTCAACTGTACCTTTTTCTTTAATTTTGATCAAGCAGTGCTTGGGAGATCCCTTGGAAGCTCTATATGGAGGAGGGATTGTAGTAAATCCAGAATTTAACTACAACATTGAAGGTTGGAAAGCTTTTGGAGAAGGTAAAATAGAAGAACGAATATCGAAGGAAGGAAACAGGTTCATTGTGGCACGTAGTAGAAAGCATCCATCAGACAGTTTATCACAGAAGGTTCAAGTCGAGGAAGGGAAAATCTATAGCTTTTCTGGTAAGAGTGTGGTACTTGTCTCAGCCAAATTTATGTGTTTGTTTGTTACATGATTCTGAAAGAGCAAAATTTTGAAAATGTTCAGCTTCTGTTCAAGTCAGTCAAGGAAGGGAGATTGTAGCTGTTGTCTTTAAGTTTCCGAATGGCGATGGTGTACGTGGTGGTGATGTTGTAGCTGAGGAGGGGTGCTGGACCTTGCTAAGAGGTGGCATAGTAGCAAATTTCACAAGCCCAGTTGAGATTCTTTTTGAGGTAAGGTAAAATATGAGTTTGAATTTGGATCCTCTTGTTGTTTTGGCAAATCCTTAGGGTTTAATTTACTGATATAGTCAAGATTAAATGAGTTTCTTGACTGTATATGCCTTTTTTATGCATCTGTAGAGCAAAACCACATCAGTGGAAATATGGTTGGACAATGTCTCATTACAACCTTTCACCAAGGAGGAATGGAGATCCAACCAGGACAAGAGCATCAATGAGGTAAGCCCAAGCAGAATAATCACATCAATTTAGAAAAACCACTGTTTTTTTTTTAGTAGGCAGGCTAATGTTAGAATTGCAGAATTTGTGGATATTATGCTAGACCATTCATTACTTCATAATTTGTGGGTCGAATCCTGATAGGGAGTCCAGAACTATTTGATAGATTCCTAGTTAAAATGTGCTCTATTTTCCTGCAGCCTAAAATTTCAATACTTTTCTGTGCTATACTTACATACAGAGGGGGTGGCAATCCATGTTAGCATGCCATGTTCGTATCGTGCCATTTCAAGAAATTTTCTAATCGATTTAAACCCTGCAGGTACGTAAGAGTAAGGTGAGGTTACAGGTAACTAAGGCAAGTAAAACTCCTCTGAAAGGCACTAGAGTATCCATCAAGCAAATCAAGGCACACTTCCCATTTGGATGTGGCATGAACCATTATATCCTCACAAACCCTGATTACCAGAATTGGTTTGCATCAAGATTTAAGTGGACCACTTTCACAAATGAGATGAAGTGGTACAGCACCGAGAAAATACAAGGCCTAGAAAACTATACTATTGCAGATAACATGGTAAAATTTGCCCAACAGAATGGGATTTCTATTAGAGGCCACAACGTATTCTGGGACGATCCGAAGTACCAGCCTGACTGGGTTAAATCCCTTTCCCCCGAGGAACTACGAACAGCAGCAGCAAAGAGAATCAATTCTGTGGTTTGTAGATACAGAGGACAACTAATTGCTTGGGATGTAATGAATGAGAATCTTCATTTCAGATTCTTTGAGGATAACCTTGGTGAAAATGCTTCTGCAGAATCCTACTCAATAGCTCAGCAGCTTGATCCTGACACAGTTATGTTCATGAATGAGTATAATACCATGGAATATAGCGAAGACAAGAATTCAAGTGCAGCCAACTACAAGAAGAAACTTGAAGAGATTTTATCATATCCAGGAAATGCTAATCTGTCAGCCGGAATAGGGTTGCAAGGTCACTTTGGTTCTGGTCAGCCAAATCTTGCTTACATGAGATCTGTTTTAGACATGTTAGGTTCAACAGGATTACCAATATGGCTTACAGAAGTGGATGTGGGAAAAGGCCCAAATCAGGTACAAATCTGCAATATGTAAAGCAATCTGATCACCATAAAAGAAACCAGAAAACAACAGATTTGTTTTAGGACACTCTCAAAATGTAGAATTTTATGCTTCTTTATTTTTTTTTATTTTTATTTTTATTTTTTGCAGGCTCAGTATTTGGAAGAGGTGCTGAGAGAGGGCTATTCTCATCCTGCAGTTAAAGGGATCATCATGTTTGTAGGCCCATTGGCAGCTGGTTTTAATGTTACCACACTTGCAGATAATGACTTTAAAAATACTCCATCAGGAGATGTTGTGGACAAGCTGATTGATGAATGGAACTCTGGGACCCAAGAAATCACAACAGATGATCAAGGATTTATAGAACTTTCCCTTTTTCATGGAGATTATGAGATCACAGCAGAAAACCACATCACCAATTCTTCGGCTACTGTAAGCCTTAGTGTTACACAAGCTGAACCACTTGCAATTGTTCAGGTTCATATTGATACCTGAAAGTGAAACATCAAATGTATAATTACACATAAATAATGAGATAAATAAATTTCTATACTATTATGACAAAATCCTGGTGCAGCAAGCTGGAGAACAAAAAAAAAAGTCCGGTTACAGCGAGGTAAAGCCAGAAAACAAAAATTAAATAACTCTCAGTTTAGGCTGAGCATTGCCAGCCTTGTCATCTAATTAAACAGAGAGAAAATTACTAGGATGCTCATCAATCATTTGAAGCCTCACACCACAACCATTCCCCATTTTGGTGAGGGCATCGGCATTTACTACTTAACCGCCCGGCAGCCATTACTTTTTGTTCATATTCATGCATTTACTTCTTAAAACTATTAAATCTGAATATGTTATGAATTCATTACCTTCAAACTCAGTTAGAAGGGGAGATGAAATATGTCTATAAATTTGGTAACAAAAATCCCCCATACTCACAGTTCAATCACTTGGGACAAAAAGAGAATCGAAATTAAATGGCACACGAGGAGGAGAATTTAGATCAAATAGGGAAGCATAAGTTTGGAAATTTATTTACCACATTACACAGTTATAGTGTTCATTATAAATACCACATACAACCAGAAGCCTCTGTTGCACTTTGAAGATAGATTGTTCTGTAGACCATAGAGTTGTTCCTTCCTCCTTCGTGTTGTGCTTAACTTCTGCCTTTGTTCCTGTCTCCATTTGCTTCACACGTGACATTATTATCATCCTTCTTCCCAGAACTTTGAAATTATTTTATTTGTGGCAAGGAAAAATTTATTCATTTTGAGATGATCAAACAAAACTTGTAAAGTCTGGTAAGAGATGATCGCCTGCGAAAGATTAAATTCCTTTTTACTTTTAGGTTTATGTGAATTTTAATTTTGAGGAAATTTGTGTCTTTTTAAGTGGGTTTTCTATTATATATCTGAAATTTTTAATAAAAACTGACATTTGTGAAAATAATGGTCAAATTTTGGCTATTTTTTAATAAAAACGCGGGTATATATATATATATAAACAGTACAGCCAGCCGGCTATACTCGGTTTTTTTTAAATCGTATAGCCGCCGGCTATACTTATTTCAACACATGGCTGCCTAATCGCAGGGAGGTCCTCTTTTTTTCTTTTTAATAAATAGTATAGCTGCGCGGCTATACTCGGTTTTTAATTTGCCTGACACGTGGGCGCTAATCGCCGGGATCCTCTCTCTTCACATATTGTATAGCCGCGCGGCTATACTTATTTTGACACGTAACCCCAATGCCGGTCCTGTTCTTATATAAATGGCTATACCCGGTTGTTTAAAAAAAATATATTATAGCCGCACGTCTATACTTAGTTTGACACTTGGTGTGCTCTTATATAAATAGTATAGATACCCGGCTTTTTATTTTTCAGAATAGTAAGCCGCGCGGCTATACTATTTTTGACACATGGCCCCCAAATCGCAAGTGGGCGCCTAATCCCTTTCCCGCAAGGAACAACGAAAAGCAGCAGTAAAGAGAATCGATTCAGTGGTTTCTAGATACGGAGGACAATTAATTGCTTGGGATGTAGTGAATGAGAATCTTCATTTCAGATTCTTTGAGGACAACCTTGGTGAGAATGCTTCTGTAGCATTCTACTCCACAGCTCAACAGCTCGATCCTGGCACAATTATGTTCCTGAATGAGTATAATATAATCGAGTATCCTTTAGACTAGGAAGCAAGTGCAGCCAACTACACGAAGAAACTTCAAGAGATCCTATCATATCCTGGAAATGCTAATCTGTCAACCGGAATAGGGTTGCAAGGTCACTTTGGTTCTAGTCAGCCAAACCTTGCTTACATGAGATCGACTTTAGACATGTTAGGTGCAACAGGATTTCCAATATGGCTCACAGAAGTGGATGTGCATAAAGGCCCGAACCAAGTATTCTAATCGAAAATCAAAAACAAAAAATTTAGTTTACGACGGTTTCAAGTGCGAAAGTTTATGCTAATACACTTGTTTTGTTAGTGTATAAGCATTGAGCTAATTTGAGCTCAGTGTTAATTAGCCGAGTATTTCATTGTGTATTCACTTTGTGTTAGAAAATGACAAGTGTAAGGCTGAGATGCAATATTAAGTGTGTGCATCCAGCTAAGGCTAACGGTCATGTACTTCATGACATAGAAAAATAGAAAAATAGAATATACATATTCTTGCTCTCAGACTTAGAGAGTAAGCAGAGCAGTTTTTACAGAATTCTCTTCTTCTATTCCTCTCAATCCTCTCTTCCAAAATAGCTAGAATTCTTACAAACACTCTCAAACTTTAACATGGCCTCAGAGCCAGGTTCGATTGATTAAGATCTAGGCGTAAGAAATTGAGCTCCACTCAAGTTTGGTTGAGCTCAGGCGAAGTTGCAGAACGTTCGCAAAATCAGTTCCCGGCTTGTGATTCATTTCATCTGAGCTACAAGATAGCTGGATTTGGAAGTTCTGAAGTCAGAACTCCGATCTTCTCCGGCGAGAATTATGAATTCTGGAGAATCAGAATGACGATGATCTTCAAGTCGCACGAGTTATGAAAACTGGTTGACAAGGGGATTTCGATCTCAGACTCAAAGACGAAGGTTGAAGGAGGCTCAGAAAAGGAAGTTGATGAGAAAACAGCAGCTGTCTATTTGCAAGATGCTAAGGCCCTGGGCATTATTCAAACTGCGGTTTCAGATCAGATTTTCCCACGAATAGCTAATGCTGAAACAGCAAAAATGGCTTGGGATCTGTTGTATGGAGAGTACCACGGTGGTGATCAGGTAAGGTCTGTAAAACTACAAAATCTGAGGCGTGAATTTGAGTATGCTAGGATGAGAGATGATGAAACCTTATATGGCTATTTGACTAGGCTAAATGATTTGATAAACCAAATGAAAACATTTGGTGAGATTCTGACTAATGAGAGACTTGTTCAGAAAATGTTGATTAGTCTTAGCAAGCCATATGACCCTATTTGTCTGGTTATTGAAAATACCAAAAGTTTGGAGACTGTGGAATTGCAAGAAGTTGTAGCTATTTTGAAAAGTCAAGAACAAAGGTTTGATCTACATAATATGGATACCACTGAAAAGGCATTTGTCTCTCTTTCTGTGAATTCAAAAGGGCAGCAAAGCAAGAATCATTCTAAGTCTCAAAAGAATTGGAATCCTAAGGGAAAACCATGGGAATCGAAAAGAAAGCCTCAACAGAACAACTATACATCAAATCACAGTTTTGGTTCACCATAACAGACAACTCAAGATGCTGTTAAACCACAGTGCAAGGTGTGCTCCAAATTTCACTTTGGTGAGTGTAGATATAAGGGGAAGCCAAAATGATTTAACTGTGATAGGTTTGGACATTTGGCTAGGGAATGCACCTTAGGTAAGGCTACTCAAAAGGCCAACTGTGTCAATCAAACTGAGATGATTGGAAACCTATTCTTTGCTAATAGTGTCATTTCTGATGTGAAAATAAATGGAAACTGGTATATTGACAGTGGCTGTAGCAACCACATGACTGGGAGTGCATAATTGCTTGTTGATATAAGGACAAATGTTAGTGGGAAGGTACAGATGCCTACTGGAAATTTGGTGGATGTTGCAGGCATAGGCTCTCTAGTGATTAAGACTAGTGCTGGCAAGAAATACATTAGAGAAGTCATGTTTCTACCTGGATTAAAGGAGAATTTGTTGAGCGTTGGTTAAATGGATGAACATGGGTACCATTTGCTATTTGGTGGAGGCATGTGCTGCATCTTTGATGGTCCCTCACTTGACAAGTTGGTTATCAAGGTCAAGATGAAAAATAATAGGTGCTATCCTTTATCTTTAATTCAAAATGATCATATTGCATTAAGGGCTAGTGTGACTAAATGCACTTGGATATGGCATAAGAGGTTAGGCCACTTAAACCTCAGAAGTCTGAAACAGTTGAGAGACCAAAGTATGGTTCATTGTCTTCCATATCTGGAAGAAATTAATGAAGTATGTGAGGGATGTCAATTGGGCAAGCAACATAGGGACTGGTTTCCTAAAGGGCAGGCTTGGAGAGCAAATAATCCTTTGGAACTGATACACACAGATCTATGTGGTCCAATGCAGACTGAATCTATAGCTGGAAACATATATTTTATGCTACTCATTGATGATTGCAGAAGGATGACTTGGGTGTACTTTCTAAGGTATAAATCAGATGCATTAACCTGTTTTAGAAAGTTTAAATCCATGGTAGAACTGCAAAGTGATTTCAAAGTGAAGTGTGTGAGAAGTGATAGAGGTGGTGAATTCACATCTAGTGAATTTAGCAAATTATGTGAAGAATGTGGCATTCAAAGACAACTAACCACAGCCTATACTCCACAACAAAATGGAGTGGTGGAGAGGAAAAATAGAACTGTGGTGGAAATGGCCAAGGCTATGCTTCATGAGAAGAACATGCCTTACTTTCTATGAGCAGAAGTTGTTCACACAGCTGTGTATCTCCTAAATCGTTCACCCACCAAGGCACTGGAAAATATCACTCCATTTGAAACATATAGTGGCAGAAAACCAGGTATTGGTCATCTCAAAGTGTTTGGATCACTTTGTTATGTACATGTACCAACAGAAACAAGGCATAAACTGGATGCTAAGAGTGTCAAGGGGGTTTTTGTTGGATATGCTGTTTGTGCAAAAGGGTACAGGGTATTTGATACTCTCACTAAGAAGTTGCTTTTGTCAAGAGATGTTGTGTTTGATGAAAGTATGACTTGGAACTGGAAAGCACAGACAGAAATATCTACTGCAGTGACAAATACATCTAAAACTGAAATTGATTCCAGCCTACAAGAAGTAACAGAGATAGACAACAATTGTGCTAGTCCTTGCAGCTCCTTTCAAGCTGAAGAACAAGAGAGAAATATCCATGAAACTGCTAAGATCACTAAACCATATGATCATACACCAGTTAAGTGGAGAAGCATAAACGATATTATGACACAATGCAATCTCTACATTGTGGAGCCAGAGAAGTATGAAGAAGCTGAATAGGATCAGTCATGGATAAAGCAATGGAGGATGAAATATCTATGATTGAGAAAAATGGAACTTGGGAACTTGTGAACATACCAAGTGACAAACAAGTTATTGGAGTGAAATGGGTATTCAAGACCAAACTGAATCTAGATGGTTCAGTGCAAAAGAACAAGGCAAGATTGGTTGCTAAGGGATATGTGCAGAAACCATGAATTGACTATAATGAGACCTTTGCTCCAGTTGCTAGATTGGACACAATCAGAACCTTAATTGCTCTTACTGCACAAAAGGACTAGAATTATATCAACTAGATGTCAAGTCAGCATTCTTGAATGGAAAGTTGCAAGAAGAAGTGTATGTTGAGCAACCTGAGGGATTTGTGGTTCAAGGCAAGGAAGATAGAGTTTATAGACTGCACAAGGCTCTTTATGGGTTAAAATAGGCACCAAGAGCCTGGTATGGAGAAATTGACAGCTACTTCGCTGAGTGTGGGTTTGAGAAAAGCTTGAGTGAAGCTACTCTTTATACCAAGACAAGGGGAGAAAATGATATACTAATTGTATCCATCTATGTGGATGATATAGTGTACACAGGAAGCAATCAAGGAATGTTGAATGAGTTCAAGAGAGACATGAAAGAGAAGTATGAAATGACAGACTTGGGACTTCTCCATCACTTTCTAGGAATGGGGGTGATTCAGACAGATTCAAGCATCTTTATTCACCAAAGGAAGTATGCATCTTCTCTGTTGAATAAGTTTGGCTTAACTGACTGTAAGTCTGTGACTACTCCTCTTGTAGCCACAGAAAAGTTGATCAAAGATGATGGAAGTGGTGCTGCTGATGAAGAGAATTATAGAAAGCTTGTAGGAAGTTTACTATACCTTACTGCTACAAGACCAGATGTGATGTATGCTGCAAGTTTACTAGCTAGATATATGCATGGTCCTTCCAATAAGCACTATGGAACAGCTAAGAGGGTGCTAAGGTATGTTAAATGAACATTAGACTATGGTTTGATGTATGAGAAAGGCAAGAAAGCAGTGTTGTTGGATATTGTGACAGTGATTGGGGAGGCTCTGTTGAAGATAGCAAAAGTACATCTGGCTATGCATTCTCGTTTGGAAGTGGAGTTTTTTCATGGGCTTCTGTCAAGCAAAGTTGTGTAGCTCTCTCAACTGCTGAAGTAGAATATTTTAGTGCTTCAGAGGCTACAACTCAAACAATCTGGCTTAGATTTGTTTTGGAAGATTTTGGTGAATTACAAGCAGATGCTACTCCTCTGAAATGTGACAACACTTCTGCAATTTCCATCACTAAAAATCCAATGTTTCATCAAAGGACAAAGCACATTGACAGGAGGTATCATTTCATCAAGGATACTCTACAACAAGGGGTTATTGATTTGGTTTATTGTCCTACTAAAGATCAAGTGGCAGACATCTTCACCAAGGCGTTACCAAAGGAGAGGTTCAACTATCTTAGAGATAAGCTAGGAGTTTTATCAGCTCAAAGCTTAAAGGGGAGTGTTAGTGTATAAGCATTGAGCTAATTTGAGCTCAGTGTTAATTAGCCGAGTATTTCATTGTGTATTCACTTTGTGTTAGAAAATGACAAGTGTAAGGCTGAGATGCAATATTAAGTGTGTGCATCCAGCTAAGGCTAACGGTCATGTACTTCATGCTTTGTGTGTGTGCGTGATGACATAGAAAAATAGAAATAGAATATACATATTCTTGCTCTCAGACTTAGAGAGTAAGCAGAGCAGTTTTTACAGAATTCTCTTCTTCTATTTCTCTCAATCCTCTCTTCCAAAATAGCTAGAATTCTTACACACACTCTCAAACTTTAACATGTTTGATCTGTGTGCAGGCCCAGTACTTGGAAGAGATACTAAGGGTGGGTTTTTCTCATCCTGCAGTTGAAGAGATCATCATGTTTGTAGGTCCATTGGCAGCTGGTTTTAATGTTACCACACTTGCAGATAAAAACCTCAAAAATACTCCAGCAGGAGATGTTGTGGATAAACTGCTTGATGAGTGGAAGTTTGGGACTCAGGAAACCACAACAGATGATGAAGGATTTACAAATATTTCTCTGTTTCATGGAGATTATGAGATAACTGTACAAAACCACATCACCAATTCCTCAGCTACTCCAAGCCTTAGGGTCACACAAGATGAACCACAAACAATTGTCCAGCTTAATATTGATACCTGAAACATCAGTTATCAAGTAAATTTTTTTGTTATTTTGTTTTATTTTGTTTAAGAGTTAAAAATTCTCATTAGTGCATGTCCCATCCATTAGGACATTTGCAAAATAAGGATTATACTATATACTCTTTCAGTTACTTACTTTTCTCCATTACCACCCCTCTTGTTCCAAAAGTTCAAGATCTTCTTCCTCTCCTTTTTCTGATCCAATTACATACACATTGCAATTTCTGTGTAGCCAGTGAGACAGAAATAAGGCGCCGAAGCAGGGGAACTGATCAGAATTGCTGCTATTCGTGCTACCAAAACTGCCATGGAGTATGAATTTGAACCTCCACATACAACTCTGCTACTAGACAGAGATTTGAAGAAAGAATGACACCAAACCAAATCCAATTTGTGGTCTTGCATTTGGAACAAGGACGCCTAAATGGATTTGGGGAGGACAAGCTTCGGGAAGGGCCTGCGCATTTGCGCTGTTGAATATCAAAAACATAAATAGAACAAGAAGCCTCGAACTCTTTGGGACAATGCAGCCCAAAAGAAAATAAGGACTCATAAAACAACACAACGGAAGACCATAGACCTAGCAATAAGATGTGCATATAATCATTAATATGAAGAGGCTTAGGCAGCTTCAACCACTGACTGATAATGAGGAGGCTTAGGCAGCTTCAACCCTAATCATATTTTAATAACTTTCTTCTTCACTCAAAAGGAGAAATCGCACACTTTCTCCTAGACCCATTATGTCATTTGAACCATATAGGCCAAGAGAGTGTAACAAGGTTGCCCATGCCTTGCGCAACATGTTCTTTTTCTATTTTCATTAATTGCTCCATTTGGATATTCTCATTAACCACACATGAAAAAAAATTAAGGGTTGCCTACTTGCACACAACAAGAACGGATTCGATTATCTGAACCCATCGTGGGATTCATATCTCATCAAAGTCGTATCTATTGTGTGCTAGTTAGAACTTGTTAGGAAATGCGGCCTATCCACCAATATAACCTATGATCAAACCCCTTTTCTATTCGATGTGGGATTCTTGTCCATGACACATAGGTAGGAACTATAATTATGTACATGAAAGGATCCGAGCTATTAATTCAAAGCATAATTAGACGTCATTAATGATGGTTGATGCATATACAAACTACATATTTAGCACACATGCATGCATGTGCAATGTTGATTAACATTCAAAAAAACAGAGACAGCAACTCTCAAGCCCTCCTTACAGCTATGAAGCACGAGACTGCAGCCATGATAATGGTGATTGCAGCAAAGCTTACATCGTCGAAAATGGCAGCGAAACGCATCTCTTGGAGATCCCAAATCGTTGAAGCACAGAGACTCAGCCCCTCATAAATCATAACCAAAACAGCCATCCCCTTCTGATGATATATATCACCACCACAAACACACAGCACTAGCATTACACAGAATCTGGCTTGGTGGGTTCTCCTCTCCACCTTTTCTCTGAAGTTGAAATAGTAGTGAAAAAAAAGAAGAAGCTATACTGAGCTTCTGAAAGCCAGCCTTGTGTGTGACAAAGTTATAGAGTAAGTGATTTGGAGTTTTGCTCAAAAGAACACAAGTTTCAGCTGCTTCTAGGATGCTTCCTGATGGGCCCTATCAAATCAAACTTGTATTCAAGCAACCAATGCTATATAATATGCACGCAATGTATACACTTATCAGTGTAAGAACAACCTGAGCAATAAGTGTTGCCGTGTTGGTGCATCTTTCGGTACCAGCCAAATAGGCTATCTGATCTGATCAGACTATAATTGAATTGGGCCCTGAATTGAATATCTTTACACTGTTGATTTTTGGTTTTTTTGGTCTGAAATTGATTTTTGGTTCAGCTCTTCAAAGGAAGCTTCTCAAATGAAATTTTTTATTTTTCATTTATCAACTTTTGGGTTTTATCAAGTACTTGCTAAACTATCCACTCCAACACAAAGATGTCAAATAACATCTTGTGGACGTGTTATAATATAAATTGATATTTATTGATATTTATTGATATTATTTTCTAAAAGGAAGAAAATAAACTCTGTCATCCATTCATATAACATGTGTATTAAATGTACTACGTAACCATAGTGTTCTAACTCTTAATGCAAAATACTCAAGAAATTTAATATACAAATTAATAAAAGCGAAAACCAGAAAGAAAGAAAGAAAAACCTTTTACTTAGCTCAATCTAATATCGACTGGTCAGTTCTTAAAGGTTGATAAAGCTGGTCTAGCATGCAAGTAAAGCCTGATCTCTGTTTTAAGGTATTATATGATTACAAAATTAATGTGCTCTATATTCAATTATTACATCATTCTTCATTTTTAATAAAACTTCTTACATTCTTCTAATAGAAACACTTCTAGAAAAAGCACTTCATATTATAAATACTTCCTACAAAAGTAGTTCCAAATACGCCTTAGAATATGCAATTTTATGAAAATTGGATTAATAAAAATTCATTGCACGATTGTGCTTTGAAGCCTCAAATAAGAAACCAATATCATCTGTAGCCAAGACTCAACTTTTACATGTGAGATTTGAGCACTGACAATGGATAAGTTGTTGAAGAATACACACAGTCCCACATTAGATACTTAACAAAATAGAAAGTCCTATATAATAAATGGCTTCACTCTTAATAACATTGAGGCCTTTTGTATAAAATCTCACACCTGCTAAACAGGTGATTAAATTAAAGATAATATCAATGTTACTAGTAGTAAACCAAAAGTTCGTTCCTCCAAAATCTTAACATAAGTGATATGCTCCATATCCACTAAGACCACTACAAGCATGGGCAGTCATGTTAATTACAGTTGAATGTCATATCACATGTTCCATGCTCTAGCTAATTCAGCCCAAAGATATACATGCTCATAAATTTGCCCCCCACCCCATCAAAATAAATACCACCATCCTCATCTATTTTTATATTGTTTTCTAGAAGCTACCAGCCTAAAAGGGAAGTAAGAGTTGTGCCAAGATAACTCATGTGTACGTGCAATTGCAGCAAAACAAAAATGAAAATGCAATCCTCCCAAATCTTAGCCGCTTCTCTACCTCTGTGAGTCCTAAAAGAAAATTCTATACAGGGGAGAGGAGGAAGAAGCGTCACTGCCTCTCCTCCCCCTCCTCTCTTCTCATATTTTCCTTTTAGGTTATTGAATAAGTCCACTGGGGTGTTTTGAATAAACAGTCCATTATGGTGGTTTCTTCTAAGTCATGGTTAGATTGAAGTTCCCCATCACCTCTTTTAGTCTATGTTATCAATCAAATCCTACTCCAAAAACCCATTCTCTAATGCCGTTCATGTTCTTTAAATTTAATTCTACATCGTCTTTGACAGAGGTTGCTGCAAATCACCCAATTGTTCTTTGGCAGAGTTGTTGTTTTCATTTATTTGTTTGCTCTTATGCGCAGGTAGATCGCTGAAAATCATATTTTCTCCAGATCCATTACAGATGCAATGGTGGGTGTGGCTGCAAAGACGCTTCTTTAGGTGGTAGTGATAGGGTTCGTTTAGGCTCATGGGTTGATATAGGGTTTTGGTTATGTTGGGTTTGTGGGCTTTATTTGGGCTTATGACTAATTATAGTACTGTTGGCTAATAATTTTAGTGCGGTTTTTGTTCACGTTAGTTTTTGTTTTAGCATGTTAGTTTGTTGCCCTTCTGATATTGGTATTTTAGATGTCTTGTTGATGTATTTGATTGTACTTTCTTTTTTTTTTAAAAGAAATTTGATTGTACTGTTAAAGTTTATCTAATGAACTTTCTATTTAATATAAATAAAAACTCATATGTATATTATCAAATTCTAACCATTGATGCATGTGTGATTCGTACTCAATCAACGTTTAAAACTTATCGATGCATTGTGGGTGATTACGAGCAACCATCATAACCGTTACGAACGATCAACATTAAACGTTCAAAAATTATAAATACATCATGAGTGTTTATGAGCGACTGACGTTAGCAAAATTCAATACATTTTCACAAACTTGAATTGAAACATTTGCAAGGTCCACTCAATTTTTTTTTCTGGTCAAAAAGCCAACCTGGCAAATTGTTGATTGGATGAGCTGCTAGTTGATTTGAACAGCCTGGGACTAGACAATTTCAAAAATCATTTACGACGTCGTTTTACCACTTCCCAATTTCAACTTTGGCAGTACCATAAACCAACCCACATTTCACCAGAGCGCGTGGTTATTCTCCACTAATAATATCATCACAGGTGTCTCCAAGATCCAATAGCCTCCTTCACTCTTCAGAAGGCGCGTGTATGAATAAAAGGAACATTCCTCAATTTGTCTGATTAATTATCTTTCATTATATTTTTTTCTTTTTTCTTTTGTAAAGTTGTTATAATTTCTTTGCTGACAGAAAAGGAATTCCAAACGCGCATAGAGCTGCAGAGAGAGAATTTCAATGTGGATAATCTGAAATCGTTCAAAACCCTAAAATTGAAAAAGGTTTTCGATTTGTTCTTGTATTTGCTCCTTCTCAATGGGGTTGTGGGAAGCTTTTCTCAATTGGCTACGAAGGTAGAGTTTCTATTCTGTTTATAGTTTGGATTTAGTTCATCTTGATTTTGTTGTTCTCGTTGTTTGGATGCTGAGAAAGAATCTGGGAAATAGATATATTGGTTTGGATTTTATGGTTTTTTTTTTTTTTTTTTTTTTTTTTTTTTTTTTTTTGGTTTTAAGTTTTCATTGTCGTGGAGCGGGAAAAATTGGAATTTCCCGCTAAGTTAATACTAATACCATGGATAACGACGTAGGACTTGGAATTTGTGATTTTTTTATTGGATTTTCCATCTATGTTGCATTGTTTTCGCTTCTTCGAAACTGGGTTTAGCTTTGAGAAGAGTTTTAGATTTTCTTGCTTTTAGTTTGGCTGATGGGAACAGGGGAAAAAGAAAAGAGCTGAACTTTTGATTCTCGAATTGTCAGTATGTAGAAATCTTGAATCAAGACATGATTGGCAATTGAATTAACCTAAACCATTTTTTCTTTTTGTTTTTTTTTTTTTTTTTTTTTTTTTTTTTTACTGAAAACTGTCAAATTTGGGTCTGGGAATAGTTTTCGAGGCTAAATTTGGTTGATCTTTGGAGTAAAGAATTATAGTGCTAGGGAACTAGTTTAAACCGGATTATTTCCTTCAATGATGGAGGCGTCTTCGTGCATGTACGCACGGTTGATTTTCTTTTTGGAGAATAAAGTCGGTAATTTATATCTGCATATTGTTGCTTCCATAGGTTTTAAAAGGATTGGATATGTATGTACTGGTGCTGAATTAGCATATCTCAACTGTTGTCTTTGAGTAACATATTCTGCTAAAGACTTGAATCTGTTTTTTGGTTTATTTTAGTGTTTCTGGGATTGGTTTATTTTTGGTATTTTTAGGTTGCCTGGAATTTGATCAACTAAGAACCCACTGAATTTACTATTTCTTAATGTGTGTATCCAACTGATGTTCATTGCTTACTGTACTGCTCACAGTGTTTATCAGTCACCAAATGTATGCATTAAGTTGGGCAGAATGATGTCACAACTCATAAGTGAAATTGTTGAAAATATTTCAGTTTGGTTACCTACCCTTTTTTGGTTTGAAACAACCTTTTACAATTGATTAAATAACTTGCTTATTAGTATCTTTTCTCCCCTCTTGTAGCCTCTTTTTCAAGCAAGAAATGGAGCTATCTTTGATAGGCCTTCAAAATGCTGGGAAAACATCACTTGTAAATGTTATTGCAGTAAGTAAATATATTTATTTGGTTGTGGTGCAATATGTTTGTATATCCTTTTCTCCCTGTGTTGGTTTCGTGCTGATGGCTAAATTTTGCTTCTTGATCTTAATCTTAGACTGGTGGATATAGTGAAGACATGATCCCGACGGTATGTCATCTTTCTCAAGAATTACACATGTTTAAATTTGTCTCTAAGAAAATGTCTTCAATTTTTATTTATTCAGAACTTGTCATTTGTATTGCCAAAATTATATGTTGTAGTTTACTATTACTTTAGATATCTCACATAATGCATCTTTTATATCTACAGGTTGGATTCAATATGAGGAAAGTAACAAAAGGGAATGTTACAATAAAGTTGTGGGATCTTGGTGGTCAACCTAGGTTTCGAAGCATGTGGGAAAGATATTGCCGTGCAGTTTCTTCTATTGTGTATGTTTTTAACTCTTTTATATCTACACTTTGTAAGCAACGTTATCATTGCAGAGTTGATAATTGCTGGTCAGATACTAGAGATGCTGTCTTTTCTTGACATTTTTCTTTATATATTTGTTTACTAGCCTTGCATAAGATGTTTATCTTTTGTGAGCAACTTTCTGCTGAAATCTTGGCAATTTAATTTGATCATATAACTGAATTCACCAGCTGTGTTGTATTTATTTTTATTATTTTCCGATTTTTGTCTGTTGCAGTTATGTTGTGGATGCTGCTGATTATGATAACTTGTCGGTCTCGAGAAGAGAACTTCATGACTTGTTGAGTAAGCCATCACTAAATGGCATTCCCTTGCTAGTACTAGGTAACAAGATTGACAAAAAGGAAGCTCTGTCTAAGCAGGATTTGACAGAAGAAATGTAAGTGAAAAATCTTTGTCTAAGCTTTGTTTGGAACACTCGTCAAACGAACTTCTTGTGCTTGATATGAAGTGCAGCATAACATTGGTGATTTGCACATTCTTGGACTTAGGAAAATGAAGCATAAAGTTCATTTTAATTTTATACATGAATCGTGTATTAAGCATCGGTTTCCGCCGTGCAGGGATCTCAAGTCCATTACTGATAGGGAAGTTTGCTGCTTCATGATTTCTTGCAAGAACTCCACCAACATCGATACAGTCATCGACTGGCTAGTAAAGCATTCCAAATCAAAAAATTGAGTTTTCTTGTTCGTACCAGATGACATACTTCCATTTCTGAGAGTAGATTTCCTTCAATCCGTTTTCGAAGTGACTTTTGCTGTTTGCCCATTAGGGTTTGTTGATATATGACCATGGTCTTCTGTTTTGTGCTTGGTGCAAACTACCTTGTGTGTTGCTTTGGGGTAGGCATATGGGTCATTGTCTCAATGTTGGAAGTTGGAACGCTATGATTTGAGTTTTATTGTATAGAATTCGACTCTGAATTGTAATGTACAGTCGTTGCATATGATTATTTTGGTTAACTAATTTGAGTCTCTGAGTTATGTAATCTGCAGTGTTTGGTTACCCCTTTCTTTCTTTTACCAATTAAAATTGTAGATATTAAAACATCTAGCCAAGAACCAGCACTCAACAATCCCAAATTCTTTTTATTCAACAACTATTCTCTAGAAAATTTAAACTTCAGAGCTCTTCCAACAAAGTGAATATTAAATTTCACTAGATTATATCAAAGGACCATTAATAATAATTCAAAACTCTCAAACCAAGAGTAAGATGTTGGTTTTTGGTCACCAACGGGTTTGGTAACCCGCAGTTGTACCCTTAAGGCATGTTTGTTTCTATGTTTTCAATTTGAACACTGAGATACTTGGGATATTAAAAATTTGTTGCAATGTGATTCTACTGCTAAGTGATGAGGTGCAAACGAGACCCGCCTCTTTAAACTTAAATTAATTAAATATTACAATATACTAACTTGTTCTAGGACATTCCCGCTTCACATAGGCGAGAAATTCAAGGCTAAAGAACACCCACGCGGCGCCAAAATATAAAGCAGAGTCCAGAGCCCACAGTGAAAGATCAAAGATTCCTTTCGGCTTTAAAGCTCCTTTTCAGCTCAAAACTTTAAAAACCCACCACCCAAAAAAAAATTCGAGTATCTCATTCATGTCTTATAACTCCACACAAACTCAAACCGCAGAATCCCATAATTTTCTTTTCCTTTCTCCTCTGTGTTTTCTTTTTTCTCAATTTTCGGTCAGCCCACCTTTTTTCTTGTGTGTTGAAGTTGATGATGAGAAAGATCAAGACTTGTTTGCAAACTGCAAACTGAGCTCAGGTGAGAAAAAGGTGGCTTATTTGGGTTTCATAATAACATCTGCTCATGCCTTTTCGTTGTTTAATTGTTTTTGTGATATTGCAATTAAAAAAGTAATTGCTTTTGAAAACAGCATAGTTTTAGAGTAATTTGAATCCTCTGTTAGAATTCTGACCCCAAAAAAAATGAATCCTCTGTTAGAAGAAAAATATCGCCGACAAAAGAGAGGGGCATTCCGAGAATCGAACTCGGGA